AAAAAAAAAAAAAAAAAAAAAAGAAATATGCATACATGCTTACCTCTTTGATGTTTTCAAAAAAATTGAGCCTTACTATACAAACTCCTGTACTTTAAAAAATTATTTAGTGCTGTATTGGGAAAATCTTTCCAAGTCAATAAGTACATATTCATCTATAAGTATGTATGTGGGTAGGGATATATATATAGCTGAAGTTCAGAGACAAAATTAGGCAGCTATCAGTTGTAAAAGAATTCCTTTAGACTAATTTATCAGACGATTCTTTTTTGCTGCTACGATTATTTTGAGTCGGGGTTTCACTGTTGCCCAGACTGGAGTACAGTGTTACTATCACGGCTTACCATAGCCTTGAACTTCTGGCTCATAGGATCCTCCCACCTCAGCATTCCGAAACTGGGACAACAGGCATGTGCTACCATGCCCGGCTAATTTTCAAAATTTCTTTGTAGAGATGAGGTCTTGCTATGTTGCCCAGGCTGGTCTCAAACTCTTGGACTCAAGCAATCTTCCTGCCTTGTCCTCCCAAAGTGCTAGGATTACAGGCATGAGCCACAGCGCCTGGCCAGGCAATTGTTTTATTTTCCCACTTAATCAAATATTAAATTAAACCAGATTTCTCCTACCCTACCTCTTCCCTCTTCTATTCTGGGAACCATCTCCTTTTTAAATTTATCTAGGAAAAACTGCAATTGCATAACAGCTTTAATTGAAGTGAATTATAATAATTTCTAATTATATTTGTAGAAAGGGACAGTTACCCAAACGAAGTATCCATAAGCTAAATGTCCAGCTTTTTGTATATAGCCATAAACCTGCACCAGGCAACTTTTGTCTCAAAGGTAAGTATCCTCAGTTTTTTTTGAGTTGAAGTCTCACCCTTGTCACCTAGGCTGGAGTGCAGTGGCACTCTCAAGGCCACCGCAGCCTCAACCCGCAGGGCTTAGGCAATCCTTCCGCCTCAGCCTTCCAAGTAGCTGGAGCTACAGATGCATGCCACCACGCCCTGCTAGTTTTTGTGTGTGTGTATGTGCTTTATTGCAGAGACAGGGTCTCACCAAGTTGCCCAGGCTGGGCTCGAACCTCCGGGCTCAGGCAATCCTCTCGCCTCGGCCTCCCAAAGTGCAGGGATTACAGGCTGAGCCACCGTGTCCGGCCTCAATTTTTAACAAATACTCAATTTTTTTCTTTAAAAAACTGTTTTGTCTGGGTATGGTGGCTCACACCTGTAACCCCTGCACTTTGGGAGGCCAAGGTGGGAAAATCACTTGAGGCTAGAAATTCAAGACTAGTCTGGCAACACAGCAAGACCTCGTCTATACAAATAATAACAATAATAATAATAATGATAATGATAATAATTTATCTGGATGTGGTGGTATGTGCCTATAGTCCCAGTCACTCAAAAGACTGAGGCAGGAGGATCGCTTGATCCTAGGAGTTCAAGGTTCAGCGAGCGATGGTAGTGCCACTGCATTCCAGCCTGGGCAACAGTGTGAGACCATGTTTCTAACCACAACAAAAAAATTGCTAGTATTTATTGAGCACTAAGTACCGGCCAAACATTTTTCTTTTTTTTTTTTATTTTTATTTTTTTGAGTTGGAGTCTCACTCTGTCGCCCAGACGGGAGTGCAGTGGCTGCTCCCGGCCACCGCAGCCTCAACCTGCTGGGCTCCGGCGATCCTTTCACCTCAGCCTTCCAGGTAGCTGGAACTACAGGTGCACGCTACTATGCCCAGCTAATTTTTTGATTTATTGTAGAGATGAGGTCTCGCCAAGTTGCGGAGGCAGGTCTCGAACCCGCGGACTCAGGCAATCCACTCACCTCAGCCTCCCAAAGCCGCGGAATCACAGGCTGAGCCACCGAGCCCGGTTCAAACATTTTTCTAAGCACTTTGTTCATGGAATTCTCATAGCAACTCAGTGAATTTAGCGATATCTTAGTCCCTATTTCACAGCAAAATAGTCTGGGACACCAAGAGGTCTGGTAATATGGGGTATGAGAGAACCAGGACAGAGTATGGTTCCAGAGCCCACACTCTTCTTGCTTGTATGTTCTGGAGAGAGGAATGAACACAGCTCAGTGAAAATTTCAATATATATACAAGTCCACAAATAAGTCACTACCCCATGAAAGCTTCATCTCAACAAATGTGAAGTGTTTGGAAGGGCAGAAAAGCCTCCCCAAGGTCAACCTTATCAGACCACACTCAGAAGGTTCTGACAAACACTCCAAGTATAAAAAAAGAAGATTCTCACATAGCCGTGCTGAGAAAAATCCTACTAATTAAAACTGGGGACATACATACATATGGGTCAGTTCTGAAATCTGCCAACTTACCAATAATTTGTAATCGCGAGGATCATACTGAAATAGTCTGATTCCAGGATTGTTGGTCTGTTTTTGTGAAACACTCTTCACTGGTGTTACAGCAGGAGCCACAAACAAAGAACTCACTGGACTCCCTGAACAAAACATATGCACATAAACATACATTTTAAAAAACTGAGCTTAATATTAAAAGTATAAACGGGTTCCAGATTAAGAGATAAATAAATATAGCCAAATGATGTGTGATCATTGATGGATCCTAACTTGAAACAACTCAAACAAGACAATTTTGAGGAAATAGGGAAATTTTTATTATCAATACTAAAGAATTATTGTTAGTTTTGTTAAGTAGGCTAATGTTATTGTGGTTACGTCAATTATTCACATATTTTAGCAGTGAATACAGAAGTATGTAGGGCTGAAGTAGATCTGATGTTCTAAGATTCACTCTCAAATACTTCAGCAAAAATATTAAAATAATACAGAGCCAGGCATAGCTCATGTCTGTAATCCCAGCATTTCGGGAGGCCCAGGTGAGAGGACTGCTAGAGGTCAGGAGTTAGAGACCAGCCCGGAAAACACAGGAAGACCTCATCTTGACTGAAAATCAAAAAATTAGCCGGTGTGGTGGTGCGTGCCTGTATCCCAGCTACTGGCATGCAGAGGCTGAAGGGTCACCTGAGCCCAGGAAGTCAAGTTACGGTGAGCCATGATCATGCCAATGCATGATCTCAACTTCAGTGAGACGCCCAACTCAAAAAAATAAATAAAATAAAATAATACAAATGGAATAGGCGAAGCAAATGTGGAAAAATTCTGATAGATGTTGAACATGAATGATGAGAACATGGGGGTTTGTTGCGTTAGTCTCTCTGTATATATATATCTAATATATATGAAAATTTTTTATAACTAGAAAAATCAAAGTCTATCACTAGCACACATACACACACACACATAAATATAAAACTAGCTTGTCCTGTGCCTCAACCTAAAATAATATTCCAATAATTACATAACAAAAACTTGAGTGAAGTGCCATGATGTTTTACACATATCTATTATATAAGTAAATTTTTCTCTGAGTAAAAAAGCTATCAAATGCTTAAAAGTGTCATTTTTGCCAAACCAACTCATCCTAGATGAGAGGTAAACATTTCAAAAATACTCCCCAATCATGAAAAAAATGCATGACTTTTCTCTTGTCTGACTACTATCAAATCAGGACTCTTATTTTGTTAACTCTGCCAGACCTGCTTTTTTTTTCTTTTCCTGCTGAGTAGGCGACAATGTCAACAAGGACTTACAAGCAGGAGCTTAATATATTTTAAACCCTTGTGTAAACTGTGCTTCACTTTTTAAATCCTGAGTTACAAAAGAAGTCATATCAAAAGAAACTAGAATCTAGCAGGTAAATAACCAGCAGTGCTATTTCTCTCAACTCAAAGATTCAAAAGAAAATTTGATTGAGCTCAGGGTCTCAGAGGCTTCTGCGTGGACAGCAAATAAATAACATTGGCCCTGTGGAGCTAATAGGAGCTTATGTTGAAAAAAATCCAGTGGCAGGGCTAATCTTACGATATGGACACTCTCCACACAGCCATTGAAGGCTGTCTGGAAACGCCCAGTGCTGGCAGGTTCTGACAAGACTTTGAAGCTACTGGATATTCCCGGCTTTGCCCCAGCCTCCCGGACTAGAGAGAAGCAAACAGAACAGCACCTCACCTTTCCTGTCTGAAAGAACCATTATGCTGTCTCTGTGAGTGTGTCCATAAAACTGTCCCGCAATGACATCGCTGTGTCTTCTGAAAATGTCGATCAGCTTCTCATTATAGCATTCCCTCACTGCTGTGGTGCTCACGGAATAAGGCAGATATCCCACTGGAACGTGTGCTATAATGTACACCTGGAAGAAGAAACACAGGAAGGACTCGTGAGAACCTGTTCGCACATTCATCAAAACTAAATGTCACACGGTTACCCAAGATGGAGAGGATATTAAAATGTAGGAAGGAAGCATACCACCTCTCCCATTTATGACCAAAAAAGAGACGAAATTACGAAACGACTAAGACCACTATATATTTGCTTGTCTCATTGACGCTACGTTGTTGATGATATAAGGTCCCTGTGACCCTGGTCACAATTTTTTGAATTGGCCTCTTTTTCTAGCCATAGAGAGCCAAGAATTCTAAGACTGGTGAAAGCAAAACAACATGAAAGAAAGCAAAGAGATGGGCCATGAGGTGCTTCATGTGAAAACGTCTTCAAGTTCTGCTTTCTATTTTGCCAAAACTTGACTCCACCCCGAGTTTATCAAACACACAACCTTAGCCTCCTGTTTACGCCCTGGCGACCCGGGACCGTGGGGACGTACCTTCTCTTCATTCTGCCGAGAGCTGCTCAGTGTGTCGTCCAGCCATTCAAACTGATTTGCTGGGTCAGTCTTGTTCTGGGTCACGGCATTTGGGCCATAGTACAAGTTGGTGTTTAGACTGACGATTCTGAGGCTCGGATTAGTTGGAACTTTCTGTGAATAAAAGCCACCTAGAAAAACAATTTTAAAACACATTTGAGGGAAACACACACACTTACACGCAGACATTGTGAAAGCAAATTCTCAGGGTTGACAGTTCTGCCAGGAAGCCTGCGCTTCACCCCCGGGGTTTAATTTGCCCACAGACAGGCTGTCATTAGATAAGAATCAGAGTTAGCAAGCATGTTCTGAAAACCTGCCATGTGCTGGGCCCCATGCTGGCACCTTCCCAGACGGAGGTAACAGCAGTTGTGTCCAATATTCAGATGAAAAGACAAGTACGTTGTGGGGTAAGTAAGGAGACCAAATTTTACAAAAGAAGGATTCATACGTCAAGTCCTACTTTTACATAATTCGGGAGCTAAGATGATAAGAGACAGGGTCGCAGATAAACTCCAAAGAATGGGAACACACATCGACCTTGCTCAAGACCCCTGAGGGAAAAAGGTCAGATAGACCAGACAGCGGCTACAGTGTCAGTAAGTCTCTGTGAGAGAAGAGGCTTACAGGTGTCACCCACTCACACTCTGCCCCGTGGTGAGAGGACACCCAAAGTCTGCTGCCACACTTCCAGAGGCGGCCCCCGAGGTCCTCACACAGCGTTCCTGGCTCTGGGCCCACTCGCCATCCAAGCCTCTCCTTAGCTCTCAGTGATGGCTGCTTGTGGCCTTGTTAATTTTCCTTCTTGTTGTCTGATCACAGCACCCCATGATTCTTACTACAGTGTAGCAAGGAGGTTGGGTTTGAGTGAGTTGCAAGTTACTTCTGAGGGGCTGCCCTTAATGTCCCAGTAGGAAAAGATGACAGTAGCTCTCGCTAGAGGCTCAGGAATGAAGAAATCTGAGGTCCCTCAGGCAGGCCACCTCTGCTCCAATCGCTTTTGGCTTTAAGATGCTCACGGAGGCTGGGCTCGGAGGCTCAGCCTGTCATTCCAGCGCTTTGGGAGGCTGAGGCGAGTGGATGGCCTGAGCCCGGGGCACGAGACCCGCCTGGGCAACTTGGCGAGCCCTCGTCTCTACGATAAATCAAAAGTTAGCCAGGTGTAGTAGCATGTGCCTGCAGTTCCTGCCACTTGGAAGGCTGAAGTGGAAGGATCTCCGGAGCCCAGCAGGCTGACGCTGGGGTGGCCATGAGTGTGCCACTGCACTCCAGCCTGGGCAATAGAGTGAGACTCCAGCTCAAAAAAAAAAAAAAAAAAAAAGACACTCGCTGAAAGCCTTCTGTGGCTTTCAACTTTAATACTGTGTTCCAGTGCTGAACTGGAGATTTGATGGTCTCACTGGAAGAATGGACAGCATTGCAAAAGTCACATGGTGGCACGGTGGCTCATGCCCGTTGCCCATAATCCCAGAACTTAAGGAAACTGAGGCGAGAGGATTGCCTGAGCCCATGGGTTCAAGACTGGCCCAGGCAACTTGGCGAGACCTCATCTCTACAAAAAAGAAAAATAAATACATAAATTAAAAAAGAGCCAAGCATGGTGGCACAAGCCTGTGGTCCCAGTTACTCAGAAAGCTGAGGCAGAAGGATGGTCTAAGCCCAGCAGGTCAAGGCTGCAGCGGCCCTGATCCCTGATCGTGCCACTGCACTCCAGTCTGACTCCAAAAAACAAAACAAAATAAAAAATAACAAAAAAAGAAAGTTACATGGCTTCCTCCTGGAGCTCGCATTCCGTCAGCTCTTCTCTGCCTGTGCTTCTCTGTTTCAAGCTGAGCCTCTGTGGAGTCCAGCGTCTCTCTAGGAATATCCTGATTGTGCTTCTGGCTTTCTCTTCAGTTGGTACAAGCTCTCCACGCGTCCTGCAGGTTTGAGGGTGTAAGACCACACACAGTTCTCTAGGTTAATCAGGGCCGTGGCCTGATTCCAACACAGCAGGTCTCAAGTTCATTTACGCTGTGATTTGCTGAGTGCTGGCGACAACAAGATGGTGGCAAAACCAAGAGTTTAAGAGAAACAGCAAAAGAGAAACTTCCAACGGAGAGGAGTCTAGCCGTTAACTTAAAGTGTGTCTCAAAACTAAAAATATCAAAGTATTTATTTATTTACTGTTTGTTTGCTTTTCTATTTGAGTCAGGGTCTCATTCTGTCATCCAGGCCAACAGAATACAGTGACACGATTGTGGCTCACAGCTGCCTCAACCGCTTGGGCTTGGGAGATCCTCCCGCCTCAGCCTCCCAAGTCATAGGACTACACACCACCACGGCCAGCTAATTGTTGTTTCTTGTTTTTTGTTTTTTTGTGGAGACGAAATCTTACGACGTTGCCCAAGCTGGTCTTGAACTCGTGGGCTCAAGCGATCCTCCAGCCTCGGCCTCCCAAAGTGCCGGGGATTACAGGCGTGAGCCACCACATACAGCCCAAAGTCTTACTTCAATAGCTGGGCCCCTCATTTAAGCTCACACAATGTCAGGGGTATACGTAAGGATGTGTGCAAAGCCCCTGGAGCAGGGGGCCTGTAGACGCCACCCAGGGAAGGCCAGACTGTGTGATACTTAGGCATTACTTTTCTAAGATCCGCAGAGTCCAAGTTAAAAGCTTAGTCATCCTTACTTCACTAGCTGTTTTATAACGTGGGTGCAGCTTGGTCAAAAGCCAGTGTCCATTTCTCTTCTCACTTTTCCAATTAGAAACATCCATGTTTATTTCTATCTAAATCCAAAGTTCCACTTCTGCTTCATGGGACAACCCACCTGCACGAGCACGGGAGAAGAACGGGAAACGCTTCCCGCACCATAAACACATTCGTAACACGTGTCATGGGAAAGGGGACCGCTCACCGTCCTTCAGAAAAACTGTCCTCTCCAGAACTGGCAAACCCAGCAACATTAAGGATTTAAGTCCAAACAGCATGAATAAAAACAGAGGCAAAACTGGGACACGGAAATCGCCTTTCACTCACCTTTCCTCAAAGTGCCAAGAGCTTCTTCATCCAGCCACGGTTTCCAGAGACTCGCTACGGCCTTGTACACTTTACTGGTGACTGTGGGCAGCTGATCCTAGCCACAAACAACATCATCCACCATTGAAACTTTAAGGCCAGATGGATTAATTCATTTAAACACATGAGCACTAGCTACTCTGTGAGGCGTCTGGAGAGACAAGGATAAAGACTAGACAGACTGAGCCTTCAAGGAGTGTATAACCTAGTGAGGAAGTGGGAAACAAAATCTCAGTGGTAAGACGATGTGCTGAGAGGGGCATGGCCGTCCCGGGTGTACGGAAGCCAGAACCACCAAGCACAGCCCAGGGGATCAGGCCGGGGAGTGGAGGGGCATTTGAGCCAGGCCTCCATGAAGGATTTTATCAACGTAACAAGCAAAAGCATCCAAGCAAAATCAAGGGCTCAGGCACAAACGCAGGCATGGTCGTGCAGATGTGTGCCACCCACCGAGAGAAGATCAGGGCTTCTTCATGCCAGGGCACGGCATGGATCAAAAGTGTGCTCTCTAGAGAGACGCTGGAACAAGTTTAAGCAAGTTGAGCACCAGCTAGTTACTATATATATATATTGCATATATATACATGTAAATTATATATGTAAATTATATATATGAATATCTCTCTTTCTCTGTCAGATCAGGGCCACTGGTCTGAGAATTACACAACAGCTTAGGCCATTCTAAATTGGTAAATCTCTTCATCACTGTCATTATCATCATAGAATGAAAAGTCCTAAGCGCTGGCCATTTGTCTACTTTGGGATGGATGCCAAGAATGATACAGTATGGTGATGTAGATTCTTAGAATTATATAAAAACCACTCCACAGGTTCCTCTGTTGTTTTTTTTTTTTCTCCTTCTTCTTTCCGTAAGCATGTGGGCAGCCAAAGAAAGGCAGAGGAAGTAAGCATCCCCCGCCCCGCCAAAGACCGCAGGCGTGCCAGGTTTTATTCCAAGTTGCTACGCTCTATCTTAAACAAGAGGAATATGAGCACCAGAGGAGTTAGGTGACTCATCCGGGCACGGTTGGTCTGTCTCAAGCTGGGTCTACATGCCAGGTCTTGCATGTAGATCATCACTCACGTCCAATAGCCTGTCGCACTGCGTTTCCTTGGCGGTGGTACAACCACTGCTGAGAAATAAGGCATGATGGGAAGCAGCCCACCCACAGGTTGGGGGACACCAGTCTTGCCAGCGTAGGAGTAAATGGGGACCCTGGCCCAGACAGCATCCTTGGGTGGCAACAGGAAGAATCCCTGGGTCGCCCACGTTAATAGCTACTTCTTGCTAACGGGTGGGGAAGGGCCTCTGTACATCGTGTTTGTGTGGTTGTGATGCACGGGCATGGAGCTTTCATGGAGAAGCAGCACTTATTAAACTAGATCTCAGAGAGCAGCCCTGGAAATCATTGGTCAAATTCTGTTACATTTGACTCCTATTACAGTCTGTCACACTCTGTCACATTGGACATTCCTGAAACTGTGAGGTAGAAGGACCGTGGTAGAATAATAGAAGATTTTCAGATGTCGAGGCATAAGCTGAGAGAGAGGGAAAAAAAATGAACTGAGAAAGGTATACAGGCTGCCCAACTTATCCCAGCTATAGGCATACATAAAATAGGTCTGACAATTAAGTTCACAAGTTCAGCCTAGAAAAAGCGCTACATATCTCATTGCTGAATGTCACTATGGTCACCTTCGAAATACTCCCCTTGGGAAGCTATGCTCTGATGCCAGCGCCTAGTTCACCCATCAAAACAGTTTTGGAACTCTTTGGCTGGAATGGCCATCAGCTTTTGTCATATTACCCTTGATGTCATAAAAATGTCTTCCTTTCAATATTTTCTTTATCTTTGGGTAAAGAAGAGAGTTATTGGGGGCCAGATCAGGTGAGTAGAGAAGGTGATCCAATACAGTTATTCGTTTACTGGCGAGAAATTCCCTCTCAGACTGTGCTGGGTGAGCTGGTGCATGGACTGTCATAATGCAAGAGCTCCACTGGGACCATTTTTGCACACACATTTCTCACGTCGAGATTTTCAGTTAAGATTTTCCTGTTTCTCTATCGATGTTTATCCGGTCTGCTACACTTCACACAGTCAGCTGATTTTAATGCACAATCTGATGAATCTTTGCAATGTTTTCATCCGTTCTGTTCATGACTGGCCATCCTGCCCTCTCTTCATTAGTGACACTTTCTCTTCCCTCAGAAAAACATTTAATCCATGTGTACATTGCCGTTTTCTTCATGGCATCATCTCCATAAACTCGGACTAACATGTCTCTGATTTCACTTCCACTCTTGCCCAGTTTAACAAGAAATTTAATGTTTGTTCATTGCTCTAATTTGAGCTCTGACATTCTCATGATGGCACACAAAGACATGGAACCACCATAATGGACACCACCTCAGCAGTCACCGCCACACATCAACACGAACACAACTGTGAGACACTGACACACCAAGGTTACGAAACCTTTCTAAGCTGTTTGTACAGTGCTGCCAACGTAAGTGCACGGTGGCAAGTTCCTGAGCTTAATTGTCAGACCTCATATTCTGGAAGTCAGATGGCATCTATATCTTTGAGTTATTGCAAAATTTGGCTTGACAAGAAGAAGACAGAGATAAAGGTACAATGGAATAAATCTTCAAAGGAGTCAGAAACATGCAACTTGTGTCACTACTTAAAGCTACACTGGCCGGGCTTGGTGGCTCAGCCTGTCATCCCAGCACTTTGGGAGGCCGAGGAGAGTGGACTGCCTGAGTCCGCAGGTTCAAGACCAGCCCGGCCAGCTTGGCAAGACCTCATCTCTACAATAAGTCAAAAATTAGCTGGGCATGGTAGCGCACATCTGTAGTCCTGGCTACTTGGAAGGCTGAGGCGAAAGGATCACCAGAGCCCGGCAGGTTGACGCTGGGGTGGCCATGAGCGTGCCACTGCACTCCAGTCTGGGCAACAGAGTGAGACTCCAACTCCAAAAAAGAGAAAGAGCTACGCTATCCCCCAGCCCACTGACTGAGGGCTAGTGAGCTATGTGCCCGCTAGCGAGCAATGTCCCTTCCGTATCTTCTCAATGGTTCTCACAAAAACTTTCCAAGGCAGGTATTACGGCTCCTATTTCCACAGCTGACCTATGGATCAGGGACAGTCAGTGAATCACCCCAGCTGGCCAATTTATAAGAGGTGGGACCAACGAGAGACTTAAAGTCTAGCAAATAGGACTCTAACCCCCATATTTTCCATGCTCCCAGATGGCCTGTCACAAATCCCAGACGTCACGTAAACACGACGTGTGCGGCCTCGGGCTGCATGGTGGCCGAACACCTCAACAGAAGCCCAAGTTGACTGTGAGTTGAGAAGCTGACACACACAGACTCGCTCACTGTTCACCTCTAGAGGGCAGGCCGGGGCCAAGAAGTCACTTGAAACTTCAGCTTGCCCTGGAGCACAAATTTTCAAAATCCCCGCAGTTAGCCAGAATGGCTAAAAGAATCAAAACCCCCACGGAGCCTTCATCTGACATGAGATGGAAAAGACAGGCAAAGAGAAGAACGCAGATGAAGAGAAGCATACGGGTAGATACCATGTTTGGGAGACACTGGCTATTTGGGATATTAGAGACCTAGGATAATGTTTGTGAGACGTGGGCACGCGACGTGCGGAAGGATGTTGGTCAAACTGAACACAGGCCTGAGGTTCAAAGACCCAGAATATGGGCTCTGCCACTGAGGAACTGTGAGCACTTAAGCAAGCTCTTAACATTTCTGGGCCTCAGTTTTTCCATCTGAAAGACGGAGGGTTGACCCAGATCAGGGATCAGCAAACATTCTCTGTAAAGGGTAAGATGATATCTATTTTTGGCTTATGGGCTGTAATGTCATTGCTCAGCTGCTCTCTACCCTGCCATCATCACACAAAAGCAGCCACAGATGGTACAGAATAAGTGGGAAGATCGCTGTGTTCCAATAAAACTTTATTTACCAAAACAGGCAACAGGCTGAATTTGGACCACAGGCGATGATTTGCCACATCCTGGGTTGAACAACCACCTCTGGGATCTCTTAAATCTGTGAAAAAAATCTGTAAAAGTTTCTATACTATCTCTTAAACAAGCACTTAACATTTCTGGGTCTCAGTTTTTTCATCTATAAAACAGAGGATTGACCCAGATCAGGGATCAGCAAACATTCTCTCTAAAGGGTAAGAAAATATCTATTTTTGGCTTATGGGCCGTAGTGTCATTGCTCAGCTGCTCTCTACCCTGCCATCATCACACAAAAGCAGCCACAGACGGTACAGAATAAGTGGGAGGATCGCTGTGTTCCAATAAAACTTTATTTGCAAAAAACAGGCAACAGGCTGAATTCAGACCACAGGCGACGATTTTCCAAATCCTGAGCTAAACAACCGCCTCTGGGATCTCTTAAATCTGTGAAAAAATCTGTAAAAAGTTCTATACTATCACAACTGGACCCTATGACCAGGACTGGCGTCCTGCTTTTATGCCCAGGTTGCTTCTCAAATGGTCACTCAGTTGGGTTGGAACCAGGAAAATCTCGGGCATTCAATATTCTGAACATTGTCTCTGACTTGAATCGCATATTAATTAGATAAACTGGACCCGAATATGCACCTTCCTCTTTAGTTCTTATGGTAGTTTCTTATGTTTTTGCTTTTAATCGCAATCTAGCTGAGATCAGAGTATGTAGCTTTTTGTATGCCTAACAGAAATTCCAATAGAAAATGTAAGTATCTGTCAACATTAACCTTCCTTGCTAACCATGTCATCGAAATGCAAATGAACAAAAAAATATTTAAAAGGAAGGAGAGGATGGGCTCGGAGGATCACATCTGTAATCCCAACACTTTTGGAGGCCAAGGCAGGAGGACTGCTTGAGTCCAGGAGTCCGAGATCAGTCTGGGAAATATAGCGAGAACTGGTCTTTACAAAAAATTTAAAAAATTAGCCATGTGTGGTGGTGCGTGCCTGTAACTCCAGCTACTTGGGAGGCTGAGGTTGAAGGATTGCCTGAACCCAGAAAGTCAAGGCTTCAGTGAGCAAAAAAAAAAGAAAGAAAGAAAGGAGAAATTGAACATTAGGAAGAAAAGCAGAAATTAATCCACAAGTTGGGTAATTTGCTTCTGAAAACTCACGGTTGGCATGTTTTTATGAGTTATTAAAAGAATCCTCTTAAAGTCCCCCCAAGTACTTGTCTTTGCCTTCCTCAATGATTAGCATTAAGAGAGCACACTCTACCTCCAAGAGACCCACTCCCGGGCCTTATCCCTGGCTGATTATTTTGACATGACTAATTGAGAAATCCTTTAGCATTTCCGGAAGTTGACATCAAATTTACCTGTGGCCAATAGTCGTGGTTACCCAGTGCAGGGAAAACCTGGAGATTTGGAAAAAGACTCTGGACGGTGATTGTCATATTTGTGATCACGTTTATAACCGTGTCCGTCGAGAGCTCGGATACTGGGACATGAGGTGGGCTATCCCTGAAAAAGAGACAGAATTATAAGCATCAAAAGCAACTTTATAAAGAAGCATTAGACCTGTGCGTGGTTCCTTCCTATACCTATCACTGCAGACATCCACTTGAAAATAGCAGATCGCAGTTAAAGCAGCTTACACTGTAGATAAACCAGTCTTCACCTACCTCTCCCGCACTGAGTCTCCTATAAAAGAAGATTAACAAAAATACTATACAAAAAATACCCCAGAAATCTCAGCCTATTTCACTGCCCGACTGAAGACTAATAAGAGGCAAAAAAAAAAAAAAAATGCAGTCATAAAAGTATCGATTCCAGAGCCAAAATGCCTGGCTCAAATCCCAGTGTTGCTCAATGACGAGCTGTGAACACTTGAGAAAGTCACTTAGAGTGACTTCTTTTCTTCATCTGTAAAATGGGAACAGTACCGATATTATTCTCATTTTATAAATTACAAAGTATAAACTGATTAAAACAGTACCTAGCACACAAGGTAAACCCCTGCAAGTATTGGCCATGGACATTATTACAGATAAAATAATACAAGCCTCTTTGCGTTATCAAGATGAATGGAACTAGTGAGTTACACCTACAGAAAGTGATACTCCACAGATTTGCCAGGGCAGGTTAACAGCTGCTGTCTTTTATCTTTGATGATTTACTGAAGACCCATCATCCCGTTAATCAACACCTCAAGACATGAATACAAGTGTGCTGTTGATGGATTCACCTCTTAGTAACATCGACATATTTCTAAAGCTTGCACTCCAAATAATAATAATAACAGGACTTCTTCAATTGCTCTTATCTCTAATAACATTGATTCATTTGACCTAGTGTTTCTAAACGAAACACTTAAAACATAATTAATCTCCTTATGGAATTCAGCACTCTAATGAAGCTTAGGCCACTGCAGATAAACGCTGAGTAATTAGTGGCATTTATAGACTCACTTACCCTGTCCATATCATGAAAGACGCTTCTTGTCCCGAATTCTTAATAAAATCAAATGCTGACAAAATAAGTTGATATGGAGAATCACACAGAACGTCCCCAAAAGGGCCAGGATTGGAGGCGTTTGCACCTTTGGATGAAGAACACACTTTTGTGTGGTCATCTGTGATGTGGTATGTAGGGTCTAAGTGTAGATCAGTCACATGCCAAAACTGTCCTGTTGATTAGAAAAGAAATGCCGATAAATCTAATTTTTCTCTTTTGGAAGTATCATACAAATATTTACGGTAAGACTAGAGACGGTTGTTCTTCCCTGGGATGGCGTAAAACTAGTAATTGAAATGCATTAAATACATACAATCCTTCCCTCTGAGACGACGAAGATTTCAACAGCAGGAAGAATCTACTATGTCTTTTTTTTTGGTTTTTTTTTTTGAGTCAGCATCTCACTCTGTCGGCCAGGCTGGAGTGCAGTGGCAGGATCACAGCTCGCTGCAGTCTAGACGTCCTAGGCTCAGGCAATCTGAGTAGCTGGGACTACAGGTGCATACACCACACTTGGCTAATTTCCTGATTTCTTTTTTTTCTAGAAATGAGGTCTTGCTATGTTGCCTGGGCTGCTCTCAAACTCCTGGGCTCAAGCAATCTTCCCACCTCAGCCTCCCAAAGTACCGGGATTACAGGCGTGAGCCATCGCACCTGGTGACAATTTACTTCTTCTGCACCTGCAACCTGATGAGCTCAGTGTTAGCGTGACTACCTAATAAAGATTACATAAGATGGCGGGACCTCATCTCTACAATAATTAAAAACTTAACCGGGCATGATAGTGTGCACCTGTGGTTTCAGCCACTTGGAAGGCAGAGGTGGAAGGATCCCTTGAGCCCAGCAGCTCGAGGGTGCAGTAGCTGTGAGTGTGTCACTGCACTGCAGCCTAGGTGACAGAGTGAGATTCAGACCCAAAAAAAAGAAAAGAAAAGTTTGCATAATAAAGTATATGGCGATATTCTTCCAGAAAGTCAATGATAATATCACTTTGTGTCTTAATAGCATGTCTCCTTTCAGAATTTAGGGTTTTGGAAATTATTTACCTTTTTCTTGTAGGAAAACTTACACGAAAATAGGATGTAGCTTGTTAGAGTTGCACAGTGAATAGATGCAGAACCAGCAACTATATATCACTCAATTTCTTACAGAATCTTGCCTTTCAACGTTAATTGAAAGAACATAAATCTTTAATACTAGCTTTAAGACCAAAATAATAATATCCAGAGGCTTCTAAAAGCTATTTAATAGAGGTTCATTTGCTATCATACACTTGTATAAAACTTTAGTAATATTAAGGGAAGCAATTGTTAAAGAAGACGCTTCCGGATAATCCCTTCAGGTCCTCTCCCACAGTAGGAGCTTTTCTGTACTCTCAGTAAATCCTGCTTTAAAAAAAAAAAAGGAGAAGCAGCAGCTTCCATTGGGTTTTCAGGGAGAAGCCAAACCCATTTGATTGCATCTCTGCTTGGAAATTACCTTAAGAAAGATTCTTTCATTGAAGGCAATACTAGAACAAATAGGCCCGCTTGGTGGCTCAGCCTGAAATCCCAGTACTTTGGGAGGTCAAGCAGAGTGGAATGCCTGAGCCAACGGGTTCGAAACCAGCCCGGGCAACTTGGCAAGACTTTGTCTCTACAACAAATCAAAAATTAGACGCCAATAGCTCTGGCTCCTTGGAAGACTGAGGCAGAAGAATCGCCAGAGCCCAGTGGGTCGAGGCTGTGGTGGCCATGAGTGTGCCACTGCACTCCAGCCTGGGCGACGGAGTGAGACTCCGACTCAAAAAAAAAAAACTAGAACAAATAATCATAGTATCATAATAGTAGCTCACTTGATTAAGCATTTACTATGTGTCAGGCACTGTAATATGCACTTGAAATATATGATGTCATTCATTCTCAAAACTACTCTCTGACATGGGAATCATGGTTCTCATTTTAGAGTTGAGAAACCAGTGCTGGGCAATTAGGAAGTCGGCTCAAGTGCACACAATAACACATTTGACTCCTCATCTGAAGGGCACCCAAGTCTGCTAATATATAATTTAAATATATCTTCAATGATTTGATTGCTTTCTCAAATACAATTTTCAAATTGTTTTAGTATTGAGATTTTTTTAAATTCACACTGAGTTTTTAGTTCACTCTGGTGACGGCTGATTTACATCAGAAACACATCAGGGCCGGGCTTGGTGGCTCAGCCTGTCATCCCAGGACTTTGGGAGGCCAGGGCAAGTGGATTGCCTGAGTCTGCAGGTTTGAGACCAGCCTGGGCAACTTGTGAGACCTCATCTCTACAATAAATCAAAAAATTAGCCGGGTGTGGTGGTACACGCCTGTAGTTCCAGCTCCTTGGAAGGTGGAGGCGGAAGGATCGCCGGAGCACAGCAGGTCAAGGCTGTGGTGGTCGTGAGCGTGCCACTGTGCCCCAGCCTGGGTGACGGAGTGAGACTCCAACTCAAAAAAAAAAAGAAGAAAAAAAAAAACACATCAGAAGTGACAAAGGAGCACGTACTAAATCAGAAGCACAGAGCAAACAAGTGAAATACAAACTTTTACCTACACAAATACGACAAAACTTAAATAAAACCCAAAGCTGGGAGAATAAAGTGGAAAAAAGTTGATTTGTTAAGGTGGAAACGATGAGACCTTTGTATGGAGGAAGGTAAGACCTAAATCGATCAGCAACAATTGGGTTAATTAATTTAAGGAAGAAGGTCTTAGGGAACACTTACAAATGCTGCAAAAACGTATTGACTAGTGTTGTAACAACAGATGACCATTATTAAACAATTCCAGCAAAACAGATAACCACGATCAGCCACCGAGAGCAATTCCAGCACATCCTGCACAGAACTATCTCAACACAACCCCCAAAACTTCTTCAAAGACCCCGCCTCCGTGCAGACAAGACACGTTTTGCTGCACTGCCCTTCACTTGCTTGTATCATTATATTCGGCCTTTCATAAATCTGCCTTTCTAAACTCACAACGGTCAGTTCTTTCACCCACAGGCAACCTTGGCCTCAACCAGTCGAATGTGTGCCATTATTGTTATAATCTTATAACACATTTGACTTCACAACTAATAAGTGGCAGACAAAAAATCCAGAAGAGAATAAATATAAAATAGTTTTTGTGGTCAATTACTTGGCACTTAGTCCCCATTTGAAAACATCTGCCAAAGGTCACTTGATGTATTTTATTCCACGATGCAGAAAATACCCCAACCTTCATTTCCAGCTTAGATAAACTTCACCTGGCACACAAAATAGACATGTAGCTCAGAGCCTGAGACAGTTCATCCCAGTGTAAACATCCATTTTTAGTATCTGTCGAGTGTTAAGATATAGTGAACTTCACACACACAACCGTGTAGTGGTTAAGAGCAAAGGCTCGGGTAACCCCCTCGGGTCCCCTCCCACTGTGGGAGCTTTTCTGTCCTCTCAATAAATCCTGCTTTAAAGAAAAAAAAAAGAGCGAAGGCTCCAGCATCACACCGCCTGACTTCCAACCCAAGCAACACCACCTACTGTGTGATCTTGGCTCATTTCATCAGTAAAATTGGAATAATAATAGTGCCTTCCATGAGAGGCAAGTGACTTAGTAGAAGTAAAGCCCTCAGAAGGTGGACACCCAGAGACAGGAGTGCTCGTTTTATTGCTGTTATTTTGTAACTCCAAATCTTGAATTTGAAACTTTCCATTTCCAAGTAATACTTAAAATTCATCAAGTCCTTATGATATGTTTAGTGCTGTTTTGCATGCTTCACATATATAAGCTCATTTTTATCTCTATTTTACCGATAAGGGACTGAAGCTCACAGAGATTAAGTCCAAGTTACATATATCATACTCAACAGAACTAAAATATGAATTTAGAAATCCAGTGCAAGAGTCTATGTGGCCCTTAACTGAGCAAGCAGCCTCTTTGTGTCCACATTCAAATATCCTCAGTCTTACTTGCCTTACATAAAAATGATGACAGCATTTACATATGAGATACTGTGAAAGCGTGAAGCGAGTCAGAAGCACATCCTTCTGATGTCATCTAGTACCTAGACTTACATATCTTCAGATCTGGACTCGGCCTAGAGATAGTGGGCTATCGTGGGCCCTCAACAAACATTCTCAAGTTTATGTATGGTGACTTTTAGGCAAAGGCAGATTTCAAGATTCCCTCAAGATCACATGACCCAATAACGAAAGCTGGACTGGAACCAGTCTCTCCAGACTTACAGTCTAGTGCTCTTCTTACTACCTCGCATTGCCAGACAGATACACAAGGAGGCAATTATTCAGAGTCACTGAAAGATATCTTTAAATAGAAGCCAAGAAGAGAGCTCTGACTGGTTCCTAGCCTGGGATTTATGAGTCACAAGCCTTCAGAGGCCACACCTCCTGTCCTAGTGAAATTGTATACAAAATGCATGTGCGCATGTGTGTGTTTTCAAGACCACTGGGCTGGCATGGGGCAGAGTCCACACTCCAATCTAGGTTCCCTGGTTCAAAGTCCAGATTTCTTTTCACTAGACCACAATTGCTTTCTTGTTCTGCTGACCAGCTTTTAGAAATATTTCCAAAACGTGTGTGAGTGTGTGTGCATGTGTGTGTGTTCAACAAATTCAGACAAATGCTCAAAATTATACCAGAAAATCTTTAAGTCAAATAAAATGTTACAATTCATCTTAAAGAACCCATTGAAACATAGTTCAGATGTTTGTACCTGTGGCTGCTGTTTACATAGATGTTTCTTTTCTATTTGTTTTAAGACAGGTCTCACTGTCACCCAAGCTAAAGTTAAGTGGTTTGACTACTGGGCTCAGGCAAACCTTCTGCTTCCCCCAGGCTTCCCAGTAGCTGGGACTACAGGCGAGCGCCACCATGCCCAACTCCTTGTTGTTGTTGTTGCAGAGATATGGTCTCACTCTGTTGCACAGGCTGGTCTCCAACTCCTGGGCTCCAGTGGTTCTCAGCCCCTGAAGGGCTAGGGATTACAAGGCGTGAGCTACTGTGCCCAATAAATAGGTGTTTATTTGTTTATAACGTGGCCCTTGTGTGTCAAATACACCAGCAGGTCCCAGTCTACAGGATCTAAAGGGTTGCGGCCCAGCACACACAGTTCTGAAGCATCCTAGCGGCGGGCTTCTCTAACTGCCAGGACTTCATGGGGCAGAAAGCTGAGACAGAAATTTAAACACACAAACACCAGACAAGCCAGCAGAGGCCAGGCAAGGCGGAGGGGGTAAAGAAAGCCCAAGCACTGAGGGCTAGGAGTAAGGAGGAGGGACATGTTCGCATCAAGTGCAAAACATGTCAAATACGACATACAGCCTGAGTCGTGAGACCGATGAGTCAACAGTTCAGGCCTTTGAACTCCAGTCACCCTTCCTCTGCA